GCTATCACTTCTCAGTGCTTCTTATTTTAATCCTCTCTGCATATCAGCAATGATTGACCAAAATCACCAACACCAGCAATTTTCAACCTCTTCTTCAGAGGCAGATGTGACAAATGTGTCCATACATGTGACACACTCCTACGGACACATCCAGAATTATGTGTAACATCAGGAGCTCAGCCTACAATCTTCAACCTAGAAGTCATGTTGAAAAGAAAATAATTATGTAGATATCCTTACATTTATTCTAATTAGTTTTTTAAAAAATGAATCACCAGCAAACTTTGGTATTTTATCAGCTAGAAATTATTTGCAACAGACATTTTTTGTTTGGGACATATTTTGACACTTTGGTTGATAAGCACTGCCCTGCTATACCATAAGTGTACACCTGAAATCTGAATTCTTGAAGGCTAAGGGTGCCTGACACATAGAACCAGGAAAAGGTAATAAGAGAAAGAAACATGGCTATTCTCCACACTGGGCAACGGTGGGATATGACAAACCTGTTACAAAAGTCTAGCATTTCCCTGGAAATAATTAATTTCCTACCTATGCTCTTTAAAGCCACTGACATCCCAGGGAGTCTTCATAGCCTGCCTCCAAATTCAAAGGTGTATTCCCTTCTTTAGATGTAGAAGAAAATAACTCTGAACACATTTAAAATGTGAAGAGGCTACGTTATCTCAACCGTAATGCATGGTTGACAGCGCGGGCTCTTAGACTAGTGGTTCAGAGGTCATCTTGCCTCCCAGGGAACATTTGGCAATATCAGGAGACATTCTTGGTTGTCACAACTCGGGGAGGAAAGTGTTGACGTCTGGTAGGTAGAGGCCAGGGATGCTGCTAAACATTCCACAATGAAGAGGACAGCTTCCCCCCGACCCCCAACAGAGAATTATCCGATCCAAGAGGCCAACAGTGCTGAGACTGAGAAACCCTGCTCTCAAGCCAACCTGCCTGGGTTTCAAATCACCTGTTACTTATATAAGTTACTAAACATCTATGTGCTTATCGTCTTTACCAGTAAAATTAGGATAAAAACAGTGTCCACCCTCTTGATTTGTTGTGAGAATAAAACAAATGACACAGACAGGAGCTAAGAACAATGTCTGGAAAAAAGCTAGTGTTTAACAAATGTTTACTTTCATTACCATTAGATGCATCGAAAAAGACTGAGAAGAGAAACACCAAAATTTTAAAATAAGTTGTTTCTAGGTGGCCAGACCATGACTGATTTTTATTTTCATTACACTTTTATATTTCTTTATATTTTCCAAATTTTCTAGAACTGTATTTGTATTACCCTAATATCCAAAAACACTTTTTTAAAAAGAATGTAGAGGAAAGAACTTTATTTTGTGACATAGTGGAAAGAGCACAGAATCAGAAAGATCTGGATTCAGATCCTGGCTTTATTTGTTGTGTGTGACTTTGGGCAGATTAGTTACTCTGAGCTTCAGCTTCCTGATCAGAACCTGGGGCTAATAATGCATATCAGAGAGCTTCCATCAGGATTAAACATGACAGACATCCAGTGTCTTGGAAATATGCTGAATGGCAGGCTCCAAGAGATGGGTGCTTTCAAAGTTTGGCCCAGGAAAAGTGACTCTATAAACAGGGAAATATAGTCATGATGGTAACTCCCCTCTTGCTTTTTAAACTGTCCTCTTGGAGAAGCCACCTCCCATCTCAACCCACTGTTTGCCTGGGTTCAGAGGAGAAATTGCATCCACACTTTGGTCCTTCTCTCTATTCTTTCCACCTCCCCACATATACATCCTAGGAAAGGACCTGATAATTCAGCAGGCAGGGCTTACTAGCAGCGGGAAGTTACTAAGAGTGAAAAGCAGGACCCAGGCATCACTTTCACATGCCCACTGAGGGACAAGTCCATTGTCCTTCTTCTTGTTTCTTCTTTCATCCCTAGCCTCCAAGCTGGAAGCACTCTTGGCAAGGCCTCTCCTCCAGGGGAACCGCTCCACGTTCTCTCTATTCTACTTCTCCTGTTCAGCTGGTAGAGAGGACTGCCCCCTTTCAGTTTTGAGAAGGATGAGTAGGAAGCCCAGAGAGGCTTCCAGATCTAAGCCTCTTGTGTGCACTAGCCTGGCTCATCTGAGAAGGCTGGCAAGCGTGCGGTGGGCAGGCAGCACTGGCCTGGCTGTACCTTGCTTCCAGCAGGGCTGTTTCTTTTCCACCCCTCATTCACTCCAGGTCACACTAAAGACCAGGAGGATGAGTAGACAGGATTCAAGGACCCAAACTGTAACCACAAACCCCACTCTTAATGATCCTTAATGACTTATTCAGATGGAAAAAGAATAGAATAGGTTATATTTGTGTATATTATCAGGAGGGGTGACTATTTTAAGCCAGGTTAGACTGCTAGCTTAAATTCAAATCCTAAGCAACCTTTCAAGACGCCCTGGTCATCTTTCGTACTCAGGTCCTAATTGCCACGGTGTGGAAAAGGCAGTCTGGCTCAACCCACTCTGACTCTGAAGATCCCATGGCTCTCCAGGGAGGAGTCTTGTAGTCCTATCAGGTGGGCTCTTGGTGAAGTGTTCTAGCAACCGGGAGGCACAGCTGATTAGGGCAGGATTGCCTGGGGCAGGAACTGACCTTCTCACGACATTCACTCTCAACCCAAGGTGAACTATTTCAACACGGGGAGACGGTGCCAGGCAAAACATCAGAGGAAAATGAGACTATTTGGGGTGCTCCCATCTACATGTAAATAAAAATATCAGGAGAACTTCATTCTAAATATAAATAAAATGTCAGGGGGATTGGTAATAACCAGGAAATAATTTATGGATCCTTCTGGAACTCTAGTCTGCTATTGCTCCAGGGTCTGTCTGACTAGCATATGTACATTTCAGACATAATATTGACTGTTGCCAAGTTCTCTCCTACTACACTTTTACCTCCTCACTATCCTCCCCATAAAAGCATGCAAAACAAAACAGGCATGGGCCCCCAGAATGCTGTCAGTCTTGAGTCTTCCCATTCTTCATTCACAAGGGTACATTGAGATGATATCATAAACGGGCTGGGTGCTAAGTGCTAGAAATCCAGAGATGGAAGGAGATGGTCCCTTCTGTCCAGAAGCTGACTTCGGATGACTATAGTAGCTAGCGTTAAGTGTACTTGTTCCAGGGAAATGCTGATTTCAGCAGGGATCAAATCTAAGAACTAAAGTTCAATAAAGTTTAAGGTGTCAAGGGGACTCCTTCCTCTCAAAGTATTCTTCAACTGAAACCGTGAAGGAAACACTTTATATAGTGAGGAATTTCACAAATTTTGGATTCCTACCCCCTTTTCTTCCTCTTTGTATCTCTGACCTAGTAACTTCTCTAAGTTTTTCCACAGCATATAAGAATGAGATCAGTCATCTTTTCTTGCCAAGGGCCAAGAGGGAAACTACACAGACCAAAAGGAGGTAACCCTTATATTTCAGATATTTCCAGAAGTTAACAAAAATTCCTCTTTTCCCCTTAAAAACCTAAATTAATTTGCAAAAAGAGAGAAATCTATTCCCTATTTTAAAGTATGATAATATTATTTTAAAGCAATAAATCCAGTCAGTTTGATAACATAGTTTGTGTTCATAATTTCAGAAGTTTTTAATCTATTTATTTTATTTTGAAAACCAGGTAAGTACTGTTAATATGCTTAGGCTGGTCTTATTACTAGGTCCTGAGGATGGAAGAATGTTTCTAGGTTTGATTAAAAAAAAAAATGAACCATGATGTAATTTTAGATTTCTTTTTTTCCTTTAGACATCATTTGGTCACCATTGCAATACAGTGTTTTACCACCAGATATCTATACAGCACAAGGGGAAGAGAAGAACAGGTAATTACTTACTGGGTTATTTGGGGGTACAGAATGTGACTACTGGGATAATTCAAGATTACTGTAGATTTCACTGGGGGTCTGTTTTAGCCAGGAAAGCTGATTCAATGTTCTAGTAGCATCAGCTGAACAAAACTTGTAGCCAAATCAACTGTTGACATCATTTGAAATAATAGGAGCAGGGAAGCAGCATAGTTAAGTGGTTAAGATCATGGACTCTAGGGTCAAGTTTCTTGGGTCCAAACCCTGTTTCTCCTATTTGCTAGCTGTGTGACCTTGGGAAAATTCCCTAACTTCTCTGTGCCTTAGTTTCTTCATCTCCAAAATGTGGGTACTAATAATAACTCCCCCAGAGGGTTATATAAGGATTAAATAACTGATTGTGCTTAGAATGATGCTTTACACATAACAAGAACTTTACAAGTATTCGTTAAATAAAGACAAAATAAAATGTAAATCTGCTAGCTCGTCTCTTTGTGCTGGATAGAAATAGTCAAAGATATCAAGATTTGAGCGCATGGCAGAGTCTTTTAGCCCGTAACTTTGGAAGATTCCTTTGAGAACTTCCTGGCAGCCTTCTTGGTAGCTATTCTGAAAGATATGGAATTTGGTGACAGTCTACTGTCCCTAAGAGAGCTGGAAACAATCACAAGCACTCCTGGTATCAGGAACATCAGAAGGAAGACGATCACACAGCACAAAGAAACAGCACGCCAGCCCACCCAGGCTCCCTAAGCCACTGCCAATAACCTCGGGGAACATGGGCACAGAATAAGCAGCTGAAAAAGGATGAAACAGGATTTTATTGCAGTGACAATGAAATCTGGCTGGTGTCAGTAATATTATCTTTTTCCCTCTTTCCAGGATTCAATGAAAAGAGTGCTTTTCAGCAATGAGTGCTTTGTTTTATTAATTATCACTATATACAACTCCCATCTCGTTTTTCTTCAACAGGCAGTGACTGTGGTGAATTGTTCATTTTACAGAACTACCTAGGCATCTTTTCTGGACCTGTGACAAATCTAAAGCCCCGAACCAGCGTCTAAGCCGGGACAAAATCTCGAAATTGTCTGGAAAACAGAAGGTATTATGTCCTCTGAGCCAAATTTCAGCCACAAAACCGCGGGATCTCTAGCACATACCTTCATCCGGACTTAATTTCAGAGACGGTCTCCTTGGGTCTTCTTGGTCAGGAACAGCCCTTGCAGAGGAGTTTGGAGAATGCCATAAACCACCAGGGAAGCTTGGGAACACATCCATATCTGTCCTCTGCCTTCCCCTTGGCTCAGAGCCTGCTTCCTGGTAGGAAGACAAGATGACGCTGTGCAGGGTTGACTGTTAAACCATCTTCCCGCCCCCAGCCCCACTCTCTTGGTGCCCCTCCCTTCTCCTTTCCAGGGCTCTGGAATGTGTCACATGGGAAATGGATCATGTGGCTCCAGGGGAGAATGTGGCCGGCTTCTCTCTCCCTTCCCCCACTTTTCCTTTCGGGAGCATAGCAGCAGAAATCTCCGACCTGATTGGCTCGGACCAAAAATCTCCACATGAAAAGGGGAAGATTCAACCACCCAAACCTCCAGGCTTCTCCGCTTTCTTTTTTGTTTTATTTTTCATCTGAACATTTTTCCTGGGCATTCAGAATTGCTTGGAAGGGAAGGAAAGAATGCTTTCTCCCCAGGCCGTCTCTTTCTTTCTTATCATCAGTACCCTAACATGGCAAGGTGTTCCCTAACCTCCCTCCAGAGCCCCCTTGGCACATCTGAGACAATCAAGTGTTCAGCACCACGGACAGCATTACACCCCCTTCAGAGCTCCTTAAAGCCATTTGTCTATTTCACTCTCAGGTAAATAAAAATATTCAAAAAATATTTCCCCTGAGGTCTTGTGTCTAAATATACATCAGGCTATATATATGTAAGGCTCCAACCTCCCCTACTATCAACTTACTGTAACCTTATAAACACAAATATAATTTTTACATATCATTAAACCTAAAAAGACCATCCCATGTCTACCTCCCCGGCCCCATCCCACCACCCATCCCCACCCTTTAAACATGCTCCATGTTTTTTGCGGGGAGGGGAAATTCTCATTACACAGTTTACCATATGCCCATGTATCTACGCTCACAGGCACAGTGACAGACAAACGTGAGTGTGCACGTCCAGATGTCTTTAGTCCCATCCCTAGGCCTCAGGCAGGGCTGAGTTCTCCAACTCAGAGAGGGAGCCCGGCAGGAGCAGTTTTGTGCAGGGTCTTTCCTGCTTCACTGACGTCCCGGTTGCCATGGTAACTGTTGAAGGGGATGATTTCGTTCAGAACCAGTCACCATGGGACCCTACTGACTAAAGAAAGGAAGAGGGAACAGGACTGAATTGCAGAGGACTTTCAATTAGCATTTGCAGAGCCAAATTTACCTAATGGGCCCTTTCTTTACTGAATTGTTGTTGACCCTAAATCTTGAAAGGCTTCTAGGAATTGGTATGGACTCTGCAATGGTAACTCCCCCCATCCTCCACTGCTTCTTTCCTTAAAAATCTATTTAGGTGCAACTAAATGAAAATGCCAGCTTCACAGAATGACTGTGGCATGCCACCACAGAGCATAGGGAAGAACACAGGCAACGTATTTCTTCTCAGGCTGAGGCTTCTGACTTTTATGAGGCCATTTATCTAAGTCGAATAGTCTTAATTTTAGGGAGATACTTTAGAACCACACCTGAACCAGGAACAATTTGTGAATGCTTTACAATTTTATAGCGGAAAAGATAAATATGGTTTAACGTGCCTTGCTGGATTATTTTGAATAAAAATAAATGTGAATAATAAGGTCAATCCTTTGGATAGCATTTGGACTATCCCAAGTCAGGAACTTAAGCTAGCTATGCACTTGTCTCATTAGGCATGCATAGAGCTGATTGTTTCTAACTCAGAATCCTAAGCATGGCAATTCTGAATATTTATTTTGAGGGATAGAAATGCTGACTTTCAATGTGCAATAATGCAAACTCTATAAGAAAAGAGGTAGCATACAGGAGCTGGAGTATAATTTCAGGAAACTGAAGCGCCTTCCTGGTCCAACATCCACAGCTTAAGACATGTTTACATCTTTTATTTTAGGATAAGAATCAAGTTAATTCTAGTTTTTCTATGTAAGACTCACAGAGAAATTCAACTCTGTTAGTTCTAATATTTGCCACTTTCAGAAAATTCATTTATCAGGAAAGCTGGATATGTGTTTGAAGAAAGTTTTAGAGAGCCAGCCAGATGGTTACTTAAGATATCACCTCTCTTCTTTTAGTGAATGATAACAGCAACAACAAAACCGGCTAATATGTATCATGCACCAGGTATTCAGTACATGATGTCATTTAATCCTAGCAAACCATGAAACAGGTACTATTATTAACATTCCTGTTTTACAGACGAGGAAACTTACAGAAGATAAGTAACGTGCCCAAAACCACACCACTAGTTAGTGTGGGAGCTAGGATTGAGGAGTATTTAATATGACTCCAGAGCAGGCATATTATATGATACGAATCTGTACCATGGATAATGGACTCGATCAAAATAACTTGTCAATTTAATGTGACTGATGTGATTCATTACTATGGGCCTCTGACAGAAGAAATCAAAAAGATTTCTTTGGGCTTCCCTGGTGGCGCAGTGGTTGAGAGTCTGCCTGCCGATGCAGGGGACACGGGTTTGTGCCCCGGTCCGGGAAGATCCCACATGCCGCGGAGCGGCTGGGCCCGTGAGCCATGGCTGCTGAGCCTGCGCGTCTGGAGCCTGTGCTCTGCAACGGGAGAGGCCACAACAGTGAGAGGCCCGCGTATCGCAAAAAAAACAAAAAAACAAAAAGATTTCTTTAAATCATTTGAGATGCAAAAAAAAAAAAGGCCAAATTATTCATGATTGTATGAATACATACATTGTATGTATACATACATTGTATGTATACACACATACATGATTGTATGTGTACATCACAGCTTAGTGATAAAATAATAAAAACGATTTTATAAGGAATCATAATCTGAAATATTATTGATGGCTATAAAACATGTTATGTAATATACTTATTCTGTTAAAAATATTAAATTTATAATCACCAAACTTATTCCCAGCCATTGGGAAGAAAATAGCTGTCTTCTATTCAAACCCATAAAAATCCCATAATACTGTGTAGTTAGGGTAATATTTTGAAAATAATTTATGTGATTCTTTTCCCCTCTGCCTGCCTGGGGAATCGATTTGCCTTGGGGATAGGGAATGTGGCACTGTTCAGAAATTATAAAAGTAATGGAAAGAAAGAAGGCAATAATATTCAGCTTCTGAAATTCAAAATAGGAGTGTACAGCAAGACAATAGGCTTGAAATCCAAGCTACCGTTTTGAAAGCCATTCTCAAAATTCCTTTATTTGTCATCAACCAAATATGGAAGACTTTGCTCAGACTGTTTGGTACCATAGAGCAGGCCTTCACACTGAGGCAGGCAAAAACTTTCCAAGGGGTTCCAGAGCCTGCAGGCAGTTCTATCGGAATTTCTAGATTCTCAACTTCCACAAGCTGACTTTCCTGAGAACTGGTGCAGTCAAGATGCCATGCTCGTTCTTGGTTCCCATCTAGTAGTTTTTCTTCCCTTTTACCATAGATTGGTGAACCTCTCACCCACCTCTACCTCAAATCCTACAATGGTGAACTGCCTGGATTTTAAAAAGCCCTGGGAAACAAGCAAAGAAACAACTGGAAATATTGAGGATGCTGTTGAGATATTAGTGAACTCAATAATTGAGTTAACGCATCCTTTTAAGAAACAAGAGCTTTCCAATTGCTTTAAACAAAACTGAAAGCAAACCACTATCCAATTGTCCACTGAGAGAGTCATTACAACAGTTCTCTTAAAAAAAAGCTCTTTTTACAAAAGAATGACAGCTAATAAAGGCAGAATATAATAGTTAGAACACCATTTCTACAGGCCGCAGTGAAATAACTGATTCAGGCAAGGACCACAGCAGGTATTCAAACTATGAGATGAAAAGTTGTTGGGAACAGGTTGTTTGTACGTTATTTACAAACTGCAAAGGGAAATGTGTACTTTTTCAAGGGTGAGACTGGCAGGGGCTCACCATCTTAACCAAGTGACCAAATTTAGCATCACTAACCTAACAGTGGGACAACCTGAAATCAGTGCCTAACATAAAGCAAGGTGACCTACCCAACATTACTAATGAAATATTCTTTCTAAAAGCATTTAACCTGAATCTAATCAAACCTCTAGACAGAGTGCCCAGTTTGGGGGCGGGGGGAAAGGCAGGGGTTGGAGAAACAGATTAAAGATATCATGAGAAAATAATTGACCAAAATGAGAAAACAAAATATTCTACAAGAGAACTAGTCTGGACTTATCAGAAAGTCAATGTTGTGAAATAAGAAGGGTGAGCTATTATTAAAGAGACTAAAGAAAACCAATTGCAAAGCATGTAATTTGATGAGATGCTGACTGGGGAGGGAGGGAGAATTGGTATAAAAAAGCTCTAAAATATTTTGTGGAAATTAGGGAAATTTGTCTTGTGAACTGGATATTAGATGGTGTCATGGAATTATTATTTCTATTAGGTGTGAGAAACGAATTGTGGTTAGTAAGTGGATTTCCTTATTCTTAGGAGATGCTGAAGTATTAAGGATAAAGGGTCGAGACAAATGCAAGTTACCCACAAATGGTTCAACAACAACAAAAAATATGTACGCACATAATCAGAAAGGGAAAGTAAATACGGCAAAACATTAACTGGCGAAATCTGGGTGAAGAGTGTATGGGTGTTTACTGTACTTACTTTCAATTTGTTGTCTTAATGAAAATAAAAAAGTAATAAATTCTGCTCTGTGGTGAAAAAGGACATGCCACATGGAAAGTAAGAGTCTCTCCCTTGGGCTTCCCTGGTGGCGCAGTGGTTGAGAGTCTGCCTGCCGATGCAGGGGACACGGGTTCGTGTCCCGGTCTGGGATGATCCCACATGCCGCGGAGCGGCTGGGCCCGTGAGCCATGGCCGCTGAGCCTGCGCGTCCGGAGCCTGTGCTGCGCAACTGGAGAGGCCACAACAGTGAGAGGCCCGCGTACCGCAAAAAAAAAAAAAAAAAAAAAAAAAGAGTCTCTCCCTCTAGGTCTCAGGTTCAGAGAGAAATAGAAGAAAATAAAGCAGCCAGTCACTGGGCCTGACCTCTTTCTAGACCAAAGGCGGATATGAGTGCATTCATTTTCTCTTGTAGTTGTTTCAAATTACCACAAACAGTAGC